CAGTTCTTCTGACCTCATGCTTTGCATCATGACAGTCTTGTTCCCAGGAGTACATGACTCCACCCTGGCTAGAACAACATCTTAGTTGTCTGTGTAAGAAGGAACTTTCCCTTACTGGCAATTTTAGAGGGGCAAGTACCCTTTTGGAAAAGGGAGCCGCCTTCACAGCTGTTCAGCCTGATATTTATGGAACTTCCACATACACCACAGCTGCAAAGGCAATTCCAAAATGAGTAGAGTACAGAGTAAATAAGAAGTGCAATAATTACCAAAAGGTTAAAGTGTAAAATGAGATAAGTATTCTCAGCAGAGGAGAATTAGACAGATTATTTTAACTAAACTTTTTCACTTGCTGTGAACAGGAATATGTGGCAAAGTGTTTAGTATTATATCTTGAGTAGGGGGAAAGTTAACTGTCATATGCAAACTTTTGGAATTGTAAGTACTGTGAATTTTCTATCTGTCTAAATCTTCCAATTCATTATGAGTTAATACATTTGGTATTAAATAGGATTACCTCCAGACTGGGATTGAACAAAAAACAGAAGTTTACCTCAACTCTAAGCATAAATCTCAAATTGTGTTAAACATGTAAACTTTTTAAGATTCAGAATAATTCAGATAAATTCCCCCTCTCTCTCTGTGCCTGTTGTTGAAATCCATTTTGGGACCAGCACCTAAACTATCTGAAAATTTCTTATAGATTGTTTACTTCAAATTTTGTTAATCTGGAGTTCATTCAGAATCAAAGGTGGGACTCATAGATTTTTAGGTCAGAAGGAACCATTGTGATCATCTAGACTCTGAGCATGTGGATAAGACCTGCCAGGCAGAAACCTGGGAAAGAATTTTCTGTAGTAATTCAGAGCCCTGCCCAGCTAGTGTCCCATCTCCAGCAGTTGGGGATTTTTGCAAATGGCAGTCATCGATGGGCCACATGTCACTGTACACAGTCCCATCATACAATCCCCTCTATAAACTTTTCAAGCTCAGTCCTGAAGCCAGTTAGTTTTTTTTTTTCCCCATTGCTTCCCTTGGAAGGTTGTTCCAGAACTTCACTCCTCTGATGGTTAGAAACCTTTGCCTAATTTCAAGCTTAAACTTCTTGATGGCTAGTTTATAGCCATTTGTTCTTGTGTCCACAATGGTGCTTAATTTAAATAACTCCTCTTCCTCTCTGGTGTTTATCCCTTGGATGTATTTCTAGAGAGCAATCATATCTCCCCTCAGCCTTCTTTTGGTTAGGCTAAACAAGCCATGCTCTTTGAGTCTCCTCTCATAAGGTAGGTTTCAGAGTAACAGCCGTGTTAGTCTGTATTCGCAAAAAGAAAAGGAGTACTTGTAGCACCTTAGAGACTAACCAATTTATTTGAGCATGAGCTTTCGTGAGCTACAGCTCACTTCATCAGATGTATACCGTGGAAACTGCAGCAGACTTTATATACACACAGAGATCATGAAACAATACCTCCTCCCACCCCACTGTCCTGCTGGTAATAGCTTATCTAAAGTGATCATCAGGTGGGCCATTTCCAGCACAAATCCAGGTTTTCTCACCCTCCACCCCCCCCCCCACAAATTCACTCTCCTGCTGGTGCTAGCCCATCCAAAGTGACAACTCTTTACATAATCAAGTCGGGCTATTTCCTGCATAAATCCAGGTTTTCTCACATACCCCCCACCCCCATACACACACAAACTCACTCTCCTGCTGGTAATAGCTCATCTAAACTGACCACTCTCCAAGTTTAAATCCAAGTTAAACCAGAACATCTGGGGGGGGGGGGGGGGTAGGAAAAAACAAGAGGAAACAGGCTACCTTGCATAATGACTTAGCCACTCCCAGTCTCTATTTAAGCCTAAATTAATAGTATCCAATTTGCAAATGAATTCCAATTCAGCAGTTTCTCGCTGGAGTCTGGATTTGAAGTTTTTTTGTTTTAAGATAGCGACCTTCATGTCTGTGATTGCGTGACCAGAGAGATTGAAGTGTTCTCCGACGGGTTTATGGAAAAGAAGCCCTTGAGGAATTCCACCATGATTTCAACAATTTCCATCCCACCACCAACCTCAGCCTGGTCCAGTCCACACAAGAGATCCACTTCCTGGACACTACAGTGCTAATAAACAATGGCCACATAAACATCACCCTATACCGGAAACCTCCTGACCGCTATTCCTACCTGCATGCCTCCAGCTTTCACCCTGACCACACCACACGATCCATCGTCTACAGCCAAGCTCTGTGATACAACCGCATTTGCTCCAACCCCTCAGACAGAGACAAACACCTACAAGATCTCTGTCAAGCTTTCTTACAACTACAATACCCACCTGCAGAAGTAAAGAAACAGATTGATAGAGCCAGAAGAGTTCCCAGAAGTTACCTACTACAGGACAGGCCTAACAAAGAAAATAACAGAACGCCACTAGCGGTCACCTTCAGCCCCCAACTAAAACCCCTCCAACGCATTATTAAGGATCTACAACCTATCCTAAAGGATGACCCAACACTCTCACAAGTCTTGGGAGACGGGCCAGTCCTTGCCTACAGACAGCCCCGCAACCTGAAGCAAATACTCACCAACAACCACATACCACACAACAGAACCACTAACCCAGGAACTTATCCTTGCAACAAAGCCCGTTGCCAATTGTGCCCACATATCTATTCAGGGGACACCATCACAGGGCCTAAGAACATCAGCCACACTATCAGAGGCTCATTCACCTGCACATCCACCAATGATATATATGCCATCATGTGCCAGCAATGCCCCTCTGCCATGTACATTGGTCAAACTGGACATTCTCTACGTAAAAGAATAAATGGACACAAATCAGATGTCAAGAATTATAACATTCATAAACCAGTCGGAGAACACTTCAATCTCTCTGGTCACGCAATCACAGACATGAAGGTCGCTATCTTAAAACAAAAAAACTTCAAATCCAGACTCCAGCGAGAAACTGCTGAATTGGAATTCATTTGCAAATTGGATACTATTAATTTAGGCTTAAATAGAGACTGGGAGTGGCTAAGTCATTATGCAAGGTAGCCTGTTTCCTCTTGTTTTTTCCTACCCCCCCCCCCCCAGATGTTCTGGTTTAACTTGGATTTAAACTTGGAGAGTGGTCAGTTTAGATGAGCTATTACCAGCAGGAGAGTGAGTTTGTGTGTGTATGGGGGTGGGGGGTATGTGAGAAAACCTGGATCTATGCAGGAAATAGCCCGACTTGATTATGTAAAGAGTTGTCACTTTGGATGGGCTAGCACCAGCAGGAGAGTGAATTTGTGGGGGGGGGGGGTGGAGGGTGAGAAAACCTGGATTTGTGCTGGAAATGGCCCACCTGATGATCACTTTAGATAAGCTATTACCAGCAGGACAGTGGGGTGGGAGGAGGTATTGTTTCATGATCTCTGTGTGTATATAAAGTCTGCTGCAGTTTCCACGGTATACATCTGATGAAGTGAGCTGTAGCTCACGAAAGCTCATGCTCAAATAAATTGGTTAGTCTCTAAGGTGCTACAAGTACTCCTTTTCTTTTCTCATAAGGTAGGTTTTCCATTCCTCAGATCATCCTAGTAGCCCTTCTCTGCACCTGTTCCAGTTTGAATTCATCTTTCTGAAACATGGGAGACCAGAACTGCACATACTATTCCAGATGAGATCTCACCAGTGCCTTGCATCATGGTACTCCTACTTCCCTTTCTCTACTGGAAATACCTCGCCTGATGCGTCCTAGGACCGTGTTAGCCTTTTTTCATGGCTGAATCACATTGATGGCTCATAGTCATCCTGTGATCAACCAATACACCCAGGTGTTGCTGCTCCTCTGATAAATCCCCACTTACAGCAAAAATTGTTGTTGTTAGTCCCTAAATTCATGATGTTGCACTTTGCATTATTAAATATCATCCCATTTCTATTACTCCAGTTTACAAGGTCATCCAGATCTTCTTGTATGATATTCCAGTCGTCCTCCATATTGGCTATACCTCCCAACGTTGTGTCAGTTGCAAAGTTTATTAGCACAGTGCAGTCTGGAGGAGATTCTGGTGAAGCTCCAGAGAGCCCAAGGTTTCAACAGAGCAGATGACCAGCGCTCTGTAGACAGAGTGCCATGATTAAATACTTCCTCATTTCCCATTAGCTACATCATCACAGTGGCAGGAAGTTGAGTTTAGAGAACATTTTTTGGATTTGGCAGAGACAGTTAGACTGGGGCCTGGAAGGAGGGAGAAATATGTGGTTGATTTGGAAGAAGAGATGCTTAATTTATTTAACTTTTAGAAGCTTAACAAGATGGAAGCTCCAACTCATTTGTGGTACACCTAATACTATTATGGTACCCAATACACAATATGTTCCTTGCAGAAATTGTTCAGTAGTATGATGTGATTACAACAATTTATCTTCTATTCTTATAAGATCATGTACTAGACATCCAACAAGTTAATTTATATTTATTTAAGATTTAGACCACTGGTGAAATTCATGGGCAGATAGGAAGGTGAAGAATTTAAAACATAAACCAGACAAAAATCAAAGGGTGGAAGACATCATAAGAGAGATGAGAGACATCATAAGAGAGAAATGATCAGGGTAATGATGAATACATGTCTTAGTTTGTTTTTCTTTACTTTACTTCTTTGTTATTATGGAACAGAGGTCAGGTGGAGAAATAGGAACAAAAGAGTGGTGGAAAGGAAGGAATGGGAAGAGGAACACTGGAGGGAAGGATGGAGTATAGGCAGTCTGAGTATAGCAATAAAGGGATAGGAATAGGTTGTGGCACACAGCCAGTCAGGAGATAGAGAATAATGTTCAGAGAAAAAAACATTCTGTTGTCATCACTAGTGTCTACAGACGTCAAGGTGCTTCACTCCCACCTGACGCTTCAGGCAGGAAAATGCCTATGACGGTGATGGGAATAAGAAAAGGAGTACTTGTAGCACCTTAGAGACTAACCAATTTATTTGAGCATAAGCTTTCGTGAGCTACAGCTCACTTCATCGGATGCATTCAGTGGAAAATACAGTGAGGAGATTTATATACACACAGAACATGAAAAAAATGGGTGTTTATCATGCACACTGTAAGGAGAGTGATCACTTAAGATGAGCTATTACCAGCAGGAGAGTGGGGCGGGGGAGAAAACCTTTTGTAGTGATAATCAAGGTGGGCCATTTCCAGCAGTTAACAAGAAGGAACAGTGCGGGGGTGGGGGTGAAAATAAACAAGGGGAAATAGTTTTACTTTGTGTAATGACTCAACCACTCCCAGTTTCTATTCAAGCCTAAGTTAATTGTATCCAATTTGCAAATGAATTCCAATTCAGCAGCCTCTTGTTGCAGTCTGTTTTTGAAGTCTTTTTGTTGAAGAATAGCCATTTTTAGGTCAGAAATCGAGGGACTAGAGAGATTGAAGTGTTCTCCGACTGGTTTATGAATGTGTTAATTCTTGACATCTGATTTGTGTCCATTTATTCTTTTATGTAGAGACTGTGCAGTTTGACCAATGTACATGGCAGAGGGGCATTGCTGGCACATGATGGCATATATCACATTGGTAGATGTGCAGGTGAACGAGCCTCTGATAGTGTGGCTGATGTTCTTAGGCCCTGTGATGGTGTCCCCTGAATAGATATGTGGACACAGTTGGCAACGGGCTTTGTTGCAAGGATAGGTTCCTGGGTTAGTGGTTCTGTTGTGTGGTGTGTGGTTGCTGATGAGTATTTGCTTCAGGTTGGGGGGCTGTCTGTAGGCAAGGACTGGCCTGTCTCCCAAGATTTGTGAGAGCGATGAGTCGTCCTTCAGGATAGGCTGTAGATCCTTGATGATGCGTTGGAGAGGTTTTAGTTGGGGGCTGAAGGTGACGGCTAGTGGCGTTCTGTTATTTTCTTTGTTGGGCCTGTCCTGTAGCAGGTGACTTCTGGGTACTCTTCTGGCTCTGTCAATCTGTTTCTTCACTTCAGCAGCAGGTGTGTATTGTAGTTGTAAGAATGCTTGATAGAGATCTTGTAAGTGTTTGTCTCTGTCTGAGGGGTTGGAGCAAATGTGGTTGTATCGTAGAGCTTGGTTGTAGACAATGGATCGTGTGGTGTGGTCTGGGTGAAAGCTGGAGGCATGTAGGTAGGAATAGTGGTCAGTAGGTTTCCGGTATAGGGTGGTGTTTATGTGACCATCACTTATTACCACTGTAGTGTCCAGGAAGTGGATCTCCTGTGTGGACTGGTCCAGGCTGAGGTTGGTGGTGGGATGGAAATTGTTGAAATCATGGTGGAATTCCTCAAGGGCTTCTTTTCCATGGGTCCAAATGATGAAGATGTCATCAATGCAGCACAAGTAGAGTAGGGGCATTAGGGGACGAGAGCTGAGGAAGCGTTGTTCTAAGTCAGCCATAAAAATTTTGGCATACTGTGGGGCCATGCGGGTACCCATAGCAGTACCGCTGATTTGATGGTATACATTGTCCCCAAATGTGAAATAGTTATGGGTGAGGACAAAGTCACAAAGTTCAGCCACCAGGTTTGCTGTGACATTATCGGGGATACTGTTCCTGACAGCTTGTAGTCCATCTTTGTGTGGAATGTTGGTGTAGAGGGCTTCTACATCCATAATGGCCAGGATGGTGTTTTCAGGAAGATCACCGATGGATTGTAGTTTCCTCAGGAAGTCAGTGGTATCTCGAAGATAGCGCGAGTGCTGGTAGCGTAGGGCCTGAGGAGGGAGTCTACATAGCCAGACAATCCTGCTGTCAGGGTGCCACTGCCTGAGATGATGGGGCGCCCAGGATTTCCAGGTTTATGGATCTTGGGTAGCAGATAGAATAGCCCAGGTCGGGGTTCCAGGGGCATGTCTGTGCAGATTTGTTCTTGTGCTTTTTCAGGGAGTTTCTTGAGCAAATGGTGTAGTTTCTTTTGGTAACCCTCAGTGGGATCAGAGGGTAATGGCTTGTAAAAAGTGGTGTTGGAGAGCTGCCGAGCAGCCTCTTGTTCATATTCCGACCTATTCATGATGACAACAGCATCTCTTTGGTCAGTCTTTTTGATTATGATGTCAGAGTTGTTTCTGAGGCTGTGGATTGCATTGTGTTCTGCACTGCTGAGGTTATGGGGCAAGTGATGCTGCTTTTCCACAATTTCAGCCCGTGCACGTCGGCGGAAGCACTCTATGTAGAAGTCCAGTCTGTTGTTTCGACCTTCAGGAGGAGTCCACCTAGAATCCTTCTTTTTGTAGTGTTGGTAGGAAGGTCTCTGTGGATTAGTATGTTGTTCAGAGGTGTGTTGGAAATATTCCTTGAGTCAGAGACGTCGAAAATAGGATTCTAGGTCACCACAGAACTGTATCACGTTTGTGGGGGTGGAGGGGCAGAAGGAGAGGCCACAAGATAGGACAGATGCTTCTGCTGGGCTAAGAGTATAGTTGGATAGATTAACAATATTGGTGGGTGGGTTAAGGGAACTACTGCTGTGGCCTCTTGTGGCATGAAGTATTTTAGATAGTTTAGTGTCCTTTTTCTTTTGTAAAGAAGCAAAGTGTAGCTTGTCTAATTTTAGTAAAGTCCAGCCACGAGGAAGTTTTTGTGGAAGGTTGTTTTTTTATGAGAGTATCCAGTTTTGAGAGCTAATTCTTAATCTTTCCCTGTTTGCTGTAGAGGATGTTGATCAGGTGGTTCCGCCGTTTCTTTGAGAGCATGTGGCACAAGCTGTCAGCAAGCTGTGTGGTTTGTAGATTGTCATGGATTTTTTACTTTCAGTCCTTTTGGTACGATGTCCATCTGTTTGCATTTGGAAAGGAAGATGATGTCTGTCTGTATCTGTACGAGTTTTTTCATGAAGTTGATAGATTTCCACTCCATACGGCTAAATGCAGTGCCTTGCATAATGACAGGTTTCAGAGTAGCAGCCATGTTAGTCTGTATCCACAAAAAGAAAAGGAGTACTTGTGGCACCTTAGAGACTAACCAATTTATTTGAGCATAAGCTTTTGTGAGCTACAGCTCACTTCATCGGATGCATTCAGTGGAAAATACAGTGAGGAGATTGATGAACACACAGAACATGAAAAAATGGGTGTTTATCATGCACACTGTAAGGAGAGTGATCGCTTAAGATGAGCTATTCCCCCACCCCCCAAAAAAGAGCAGATCATGCATTCCCTTCTTTTAAAATGTTCTCAACTTTAAAAGTCTGCTGGCAAACTGAAAGAGTGAAGCAGGGTGTGGGGATTTGTGAGTGGACTCTTGATTGTTATGGTGACTTAGGATAAAACACCTACTGTATCAAAATGAATACTCAGTGAACTTCTGATGGGTTAAAATGATTGCAAAATCAATTTGAAATGAAGCAACACTTAAAGTGCTACCGTGATAAGGAGGAAGTTTGTTAGTATGTCTCATTGAAGTTGCCATTCCAAATATCCTTATGAGTTGTGAGCTCTAAAAAAAACAAACAAAAAAACAGAGGTAATATTGCATTATTCTATCTTGGATCCACGGCTAATGATAAATAAACTTGACAAGGTAGACTTCATGTTAAATGACAGTCCCAAAGTAGTTGCATATAAGATGCTATATAATTAAAAATATTCTAATACAATTTGTTATGCACGGTACACAAGGTAATAAAATAAATGGATGCACTTCAGGTAATGATCTATGTCTTCTGGGTACAATATATTTATCCACTGAGTATATTGGGGTTCTTTAGAATATGAAATGTGACAGGATTATGATTCATTAACCCTGAAATTTTAGCATATTAGTACTGAATGGGTTTTGTATTGCTCATTGTACATGATTATCAATTTTTTTTATATACAACTCCCAGAAAATAATAACTAACAGGGAAATTGATGTTAACAGTATGGATGAAAAGGTTTTAAACATTTTTAGACTGAAATAAAATAAACACCATTCATATAATCATAGAATCGTAGGACTGGAAGGGACCTCAAGAGGTCATCTAGTCCAGTCCCCTGCAGTCATGGCAGGACTAACTATTAACTAGACCATCCCTGACAGGTATTTATCTAACCTGCTCTTAAAAAATCTCCAGTGATGGAGATTAAACAATCTCCTTATGCAATTTATTCCAGTGCTTTAACCACCCTGACAGGAGGTTTTTCCTAATGCCCAACCTAAACCATACTGGGCAATTAGGGTGCCCTGTAAAAATGGGCACTCCAGCAGAAATCCGCTGCAGGGCAGCGGAAGTCCGGAAACCTGTCAGAAGCCACAGAGTGGGCAGGGGAAGCTCCAGCGCCCTGACCTTGGTCCCTGGCAAAAGGACTGAGCGGGTGGTGGAAGGGCAGGTGCAGGACAGAGCCCCAGTGTCCAGATCCCAGCTGCAGCCCTGAAACAGGAGGAGCTCTCACTCCCTGCCATGGCCTCAGGGCTGGAGGAACTCTCACTCCGCTGTGACTCCAGGGCTCTGGCGAGTGGACAGAGCTTCTCCAGTCTTGGGGGCAGAAAGCACACGAGGGGCTGCAGTGTGGGGGGGAATGGGGCAGGACTGTGGGTGAAACGGAGACCTTGGGTGGAACAGGGGTGGGGTCACAGGAGAAGGGGCAGAACATGGTAGAGCCGTGGTTGGGGCTTCAGATGGAAGGGTTGGAACAGGGGCTGGACCTTCTGTGGCCCAGGACCCCACGAGACCTTAATCCGCCTCTGCCTACAGTCACAGGAGAAGCCAAAGGATCCCTTTACTGGTCTGGGAACATGAGTACATGAGACACAATGTTTGGACATAAGTTAATAGAACTTTACTAACTTGGGAATTTTCAGTGTATTTAAACAAGTTGAGAGGGATTGGGGACTCAAGGGAGGATAAGAGGTGTAAGGAGCCCTCTGGAGGGATCTGTTGCAATCAGACCCTAGCCTGGAATATACGACTCTCCAATCCTAGAAGAAAATATGACCGGAAAGAAAACTGTCAGTGAACCATAGATAGTCCAAGGCTGCAGCCCCCATGCAATCATAACTTTGGCCTGAAAGCCCACTCCAGTGTCAAATTCATAGCAGTTAGAAGACAAAGCTAGTAGTAAGTATTTTTCAATGACCTTCTTACTTATCCCAAATGAAATCACAGGCAGTGTCCACCGGACCCAGGGGTAGTTAAGGATGTAGAGTCAGGGACCTTGTACCTTCTTTTACGGTTCTCAGGCATTTTATGAATGTATTGCTACTCAGAATTTATGTCCAAACCTACAGGCAGGACAGAACTAATTGCTGAAACAAACCATTTAGTTTAGTTTAGCATAGCAAAACGTGTACCTACTACTATACTATTAGTGCATTTGCTTCTGCTACTGATGAGTTTGTGTCCATATGTTGATCATTTAATAAAAGTATCCATTCAGACTCCATGTGCAGGATCATGCTACCCCCTAATTAGCATTAGTCACATGCTAATTAAACATGAACACATGCTAAATGAAGTTGCATACCCAAACCCACTAATGCCAAAAATGCCAGGTAAAAAACACTGATGCATCTTGTTACTTGGTTCCAGAAGTGTACTAAATGGATTTACGTCTCCTGCCTTCTCTCCCTCAAGTGGCCACAGGAAACATGTTCAGACTTACAGTTTGGCATACCCCAAAGTACAGCTTGACATCCTCATGCTCTCCCAAACTCTTCTTCTCTCCCTGATCCAAACACCAAACCCTGTCTGCTCCCTCTCCCAAACACCATCCTTTCTCTTGTAATGTGTTTGTGAGTGGACTGTACCACAACAGTGACTGTAGTAGGACGAGAGCCTGAGACATAAGCCCTTGTATCAGAGGCCTGGGCTAAAGTAGGCAAGTTAAGTTGTGAGCAAGAGGCAGGCCCTGCTCACAGAATCTGGCAAGAACGGGGTTGATACTTCAGAAACACCTTCCTAAGTAGTGCCAGGCACAAGAATATACACACAAACAGAAAGGTGGTACACCCTGATACCAGCACATTCCCCAAAGATAACAGGAACATGCTTACTCAGCTTAAGGATAAGGTCAGGATGACAGCATGAGGGATAGAGATGTTTTGATCGAACCTACAGGTACAAAGCAATGGGTGGCAACCTGATAGATCAGGGGAAATACATAACTTGTTTGTATTGGTGTATAAAGATGTATCTCAGAGGGAGTGTCTTTGGCCAGCCGAGGGGGCAATTCCCGCCATTCACTGAGCCGCATCCATTGTCATGGGCATACCTGTGCTAGTATAACTGTAGACATTGATCCAGGGAGCTAGGACTGTGCTTCTTTGACAATAAACCTGGCTGGGTGCCTTTGTACCTTAACGGAGCTTGTGGTCATTGGGCAGTTCGCTTGAGCTGTGCCAGTTATCTGCACAGAGCTGGGATAGCACACAGGAGAACACCCACCCACCGCTGAACATCTAACCACAGTGACAACTTCTGAATTGGAGAGTTGGCCAAGCAATGTAGGGCTATTTAGCAGCTTCTTACGCCTATAACTCCTGGCTTGTTTTTCAAAATCATGCAACATTTGCTTGGGGGGTAAGAGAGGAAGGAGTATACCAGGAGCAGAAAGAGACATAGCCTGTGGCACTGTTGTACTCCAGCTACTTTCAATTGTTGGACAGCCACTTTCCAAGTGGAGTTCAATACAACAACCAAGAGTTGGCTCCAGCACAGAGCATGCCTGAGAACCAGGGAGCTGCACACAGACACTGAGCAGCATGGCAGAGAATCCAGCCAAAAATATTGTAGAGTAGAAAAGTTTAAGTCCTAGGAAATTTTAACAAGATTTGTAAAGTGTTTTTGTGTATTCCTAAGAATACACAGAAACCTTTTTAGAACAGAAGATCTCTGTAAATTATTAATTTGCATTGTAGTAGTGACTGGTGCCCTCAACCATGGATCAGGACCCCATTGTTCTAGGCACTGTACAAATGTATCTCAACAATTTAAAATTCTATGAATGTGTTTACATACTTGCCTTCTGATATCTTAATTATTTTGTAACCATAATGAGGGAATTTTTGGGTGGAGGATGGGGCAGAATGCAACATTATTATATCTTATATTTCTCTTCAAAATAAAAAAGATTAACATACTCCAGATATACCAAAGCCCACACAGGCCTGGAGAAACAAGCTATGGCTTTGAGAGATATAGTTACGTTGAAGTTTAGGTTTGAGGCTTCTGTATGTGGGGAGGGATAGCTGAGTGGTTTGAGCATTAGCCTGCTAAATCTAGGGTTGTGAGTTCAATCCTTGAGGGGGCCATTTAGGGTTCTGGGGCAAAAAGTGGGGATTGATCCTGCTTTGAGCAGGGGGTTGGATTAGATGATCTCCTGTGGTCCTTTCCAACCCTGATATTCTATGATTCTTACTGATGTATAGCCTTTGTGTTTGGAAAGATCGAGGGGGGAAAAGATATTTTATTATTTTGATGAGCTGAAGACTTTTGTTTCTGCAGAGTTGGCCCGTAGGGATAGTGGTGAGCTTGTTATTAAAGATGTGCTCTCAAGCTCATTGATACTACAATTTGATTAACTCTGACTTCATTATCTGTAGTATTGCTATGTGTATAATTACAAATCATGCCAGCAAGAAGTACATATGACTGTTCACATTAGAGCTTTTCTCTATCTGATATCTGTATAGTATCTGATATCATAGCCTCCTGATATCTGTAGTAAATATGAGCTACTCAAATTAATGATATTACTCTGATTAGTTTTGAATTGATGCCTACAGTGCCAAATTTCAGAATAATTATAAATTGTGCTAGGGAAAACCCCTTTGTTTTACTTTTGATTCCTATTTTGTTCAGTGTGAAATCCCAGGGCTGAGCTCTTTTACCTCATCACTGCTCCAAGTAACTTTATTGCAATTGCTAAACTAAGTATTTTTGCTTAATATGCCTTGTTTCAATAATGGTGAATGCTGAATTTATGTGTAGTATGTAATATAGATGCTAAGCGTAGAATTTTCAAATACACAAAGTTACTTAGGAGCCTAAATCCCATAAACTTGAAATTAGATTTTTGCTCCTAAACTATTTGGACACTTAGAAAAGCCATCCCTAAGTATTAAAATGTAATTTCAATCAAGACAGAGTTTTCCGAAATGTAAGTTTAAGGCATTTTATTATTTCTCATAGTAGCTTTAATTATTTCCGTGTGCTGTATCTCTTCTTTCTGCTTTATTCCTATTATGGAGCTATAATCTATTTTGATTCATTCTCATAGTAACAGCAATATCTTGCCAGCAATTTACAATAGATTTTAAATGCTCTCTCCACTAATATATGACAGTCATACATTTATATACAGAAACTGAGTTGTTAAATTCTTTCCCTGCTTCTTTTTTGTGACTTAAAGATACATAAGTATTGAACTTTTTTTTCTTCCTTTCTTTTTAGAGGGCCTTAATGCTGACAACATCAAACAAGCCTCAGAGCAGTTGAACAGTCG